TGGATGACGAAGGTATGACTGGTGCAAACATGATTTTCATGACTTGCGTGCCATGCAAAACATGACTACATGCTACGCTCATTATGCGCTCACGGCTGTTCTACTAGCTTCACATGTACCAAATTTGGTATTACGTGATGTGAATGGGTGGAAAAGGTAAATAACTTGTGCAAACATGATAATTATGACATACGTGTCATGTAAGAACATGACTACATGCCACGCTCATTATGCACTCGCGGTCATTTCGCTAGCTTCACATATAAGAAGTTTGCTATTACGTGACGTGAATGCATGACAAAGGTGTGTTATGGGTGCAAACGTGATAATCATAACAATTGTGTCATGCAAGAACATGACTACATTCCAGGCTCATGATGTGCTCATGGCCGTTTCGTTGTCTTCACATGTGCCAAATTTGGTATTGTCTGTGTGAAGTATGACGAACACAAATACCAGGCACAAACATGATAATCATGACATGGAAGTCATGTACAGCATAATTTATGTGCGCCTGGTAATGTTGTGCTTATTTTATGTGACAATTCAACCTTCCTTATTCGTGCTTCGCATATCATCAATTCCCACTGTACGTCGGATCTGCGGAATATCACAGTGAAGCCTTATTAGGAATATATATATATATATATATATATATATATATATATATATATATATATATATATACTAACACCCCCACGTTGTTTAAATTCACACATATACCCAATAAAGTGACTGGGGGGATAGCTCAGTGGTAGAGCATCGAACGCATTATTCGAATGTCGCACGTTCGGTTCCTGCCTACGGCATGTTATCTTCTTTCCACCCACTTTCTTCACATTCACGTTACGATTCGGTCTAATGACTTATATACTTTCCTCGGCATTATTGTCTGTTAGATCTCAATTAAATTGCGTAAAACCACAGATAAACGAGCCCTTAAGTAAACACACTATATATATATATATATATATATATATAGAGAGAGAGAGAGATGAGAGAGAGAGAGAGAGATAATATTGGGAGGTGCGAGGGGGGATGGAGTTAGTGCGAGTGCTTAGTTTATGGTTTTCATAAAATACATTTCATGAAAAGGGAGGATATCAAAAAAGTGTTCATTTTTTCATAAATAAACTTATTTTTGTTTAGAACCAGGTCTTGCGCAAAGCACGGTGCGCATAAGCAGGCATCTTCCCGGGGCATTTTTACGCCTGCTTTAACATTATCCTTTCCCCGTCATGCAAGCGGGTAACGCACTCATAAAGGAACCCGAGGCGACACCGAAGTGTGGTATTTCGAGTAAAAATATGCGTCGTTCGAGTGCTCCGAAACGTCAGCGGCTAATATGTGTTCGCGCATGCTTTATGTCTGCCTTTGTGTTTTTTTCTGTTTATGTTTCTTGCCCCATCACGGTGGTCTAGTGGCTGAAGTACCCGTCTGCTGACCCGCAGATCGCGGTGCCTAATCCCCGCGGCGGCTGCTGAGCTTTCGATGGGGGCGAAAGTGCTGTAGGCTTTTGCGCTCAGATTTGGGTGCAAGGTAAAGAACCATAAGTGATCAAAATTTTCAAAACCTTCGAATACGGCGTCTCTCTTAATCATACAGTGGTTTTGGGACGTTAAAGCCTACATATCAATCAAATCAGTGCCTTTATGTTTTGTTTTAACAATACTAGAGGCCAAAAAGATACTAAACAAAATATAGCTGCCTAGACTTTAACCCAAGCTGAAAGCTTTGGTGTGAAATTTAAGAAACAGTACCTTCAGTTTTCGCAGAAAATAATTATTTATTGCGTATTTGACACACTGCTGCGTTATGTATTCCTAAAGTTTGATGGCGGTGTTTAAGTGTAGCAATTGTTGGTGTTTAACGTCTCAAACCACGATGCGACTATGAAGGGCGCCTTAGTGGTGAACTTCTAAAAGTACGACCCTATGTAGTTTTATAGACCCTATCTCTGTTTACAAACACAAGTGCTGGATGGCTTCCGGTCCTATGTGGTGGCGTAGTCTTGTAGTAATGGTGACAAACAGAAGCCCTAACGAATAGCCTGTTCCTTTTCAAAAGTTTCCTCCCTTTGTCTGGTAATCATTTCAATTGCACTTTCTTTTAAGTTATATACGATATTACAGGAGTTAGTCTATCTTTGAGCGCCTTCCTTTTACCTGAAAGAGCAAAAAAGTCTTTCCTTACTCTAGCACAACTTAAAGCACAAGATTCCTGGTTCGGCGTTAGAGAATAATAAATGAAATTACTGGTAGTTCATTGGATAGCAACACGTGCTGCTGCTATTATTATGTTGAAACCAACCGAAAACGCGATAATGTGCACCTATATCTATGTACGCTGCCCTCAACGTGTTAATATAGCCTCTATTGAAAAGGCGGGCGCCGTGGCCGGGATTCGATTCCGCGACATGCGGGCAAGCAGCCCAGCAATAACAAGTTTACCGAAAACGCGAAGAACGCACACCTAAATCTGAGTACACTGTCCTCAATGTTCTTTAGCCTCCATTGAAAGGGCTGCCACCACGACCGGGATTCGATCCCGCGACATGCAGGCAAGCAGTCTAGCAATAGCGAGTTTAATTATAATCTTTTAGGGGCGAAGCTCCTTAGGGCGTGGGCTGTGCGTCCCCTGTAGCCTGTATGTAGCCACCTCTAGTTTAGTTCTTGCAGTGTTCACTAGATGGCGGTACCGTCCCCTGAATGTAGCCACCTCTAGTTTAGTTCTTGCAGTGTTCACTAGATGGCGGTACCGTCCCCTGTATGTAGCCACCTCTAGTTTAGTTCTTGCAGTGTTCACTAGATGGCGGTACCGTCTCCTGTATGTAGCCACCTCTCGTTTAGTTCTTGTAGTGTTTACTAGATGGTGGTACTTGTAGCTGATGATGAAAAGATGCAAGATGTTATAAACTAGAAAGCGGTACTTGTAGTTGATGAAAGACGCGAGATCTTATAAAATAGGAATGATGTCACATATGGCGCGTGTCATTGGTTCAAGGCAATCGTTCGATTTAGTGCGGCGACGTACGCTAGGGTGAGCGTTGTAATAAAATCCGTTCGCTGTTGGCGCGCGCTCGGAGTCGCCGGATGGATAAGGCTGCACAGTGGAGAGAGCGCAAGGCGGCAGCAGCGCGCGCTCGCAGACAGAATCCCGATGTGCGAGCGCGTGAGGCAAGGGACATCGCAAGCCACCCATCGTCTAAGAACAAATAAAAGTTGATTTGGGTATATACACACACAGCGTTTCTCACGTCTTTACATGATGATTGACTGGGCGAATTACACGGAAGATTCACAGTTTACCGATGAATCCCTCCGGAGCTTCGCCCATTCATCATCATTCACTCCGGGAATATGCCGTAATTTTTCTTTTTTTGCGACCTATACTTGCTCTCAAGGCAAGTATATGCTTCATTTTTTGCGTGTGTGTATTAAATGTGCGCTGTTAGGCCGCTGTTGTGTATGAAACAAAAAAGTAGTTTTGGAATGCGTTGTTCTGTATCCAGTGGTTGTAACTGGCGGATACATGCAAACACATACCGCATATAATCGTGGCACTATATTAAAACAAGGCGCGTAATTCTTATCAACCTTGCACATTGTCCAGCAGATCGCTTTTAGTTTGCCAACAGGGCATATTTCATCGAAGCGCCCATAGCGAGTATACTGTTTCCCAACTATTTTGTTTGTTTTTTGCAAGAAAAAGGCATTAGCATGATTCAGTTCATTTGCACATTGTGCAAGCATGAGCGCGTCGCCCTCTTTTGGACTTTGGTGACCGAGGTCGAAACAGCCAAGTTCTATTTTTCTACCGCGAAAGCTGTTACGAGAACAGAACACAGGTCACGTGTGGCACCGTAGTTGTCCACCACAGCTGCCGGTGTCCGTAACCGATATCGCAAGAAATAAAATAAAAACTCAGTAAATAGATAAAACACCCGAGGCCACAATGTATTCGAACACGGGTCCGCTGCGGGCCATTTCAGTATATTCTACCACTGAGCTCCGCCGCCACTTGGAATTCATATGAAAATGATTTTAGGCAGGCTTGATGTGGGGAAATAAATCCCGCTAATATGAGATTGAGTTGATTGATATGTGGGGTTTAACGTTCCGAAACCACCATATGATTATGAGAGACGCCGTAGTGGAGGGCTCCGGAAATTTCGACCACCTGGGGTTCTTTAACGTACACCCAAATCTGAGCACACGGGCCGACAGCATTTCCGCCTCCATCGGAAATGCAGCCGCCGCAGCCGGGATTCAATCCCGCGACCTTCGGGTAAGCAGCCGAGTACTTTAGCCACTAGACCACCGCGGCGGGGCGTGCTAATATTAGTATTAAAGCGTTTGAGAACATCAAAAGGACCAATAAGGCGTCAAACAATGCGAATCGCGTAAAGAGTGGGTCGTCCAACGATCCAACCCATAACAAAACCTTGTTCTTGTTCACCCATTCTGTGTGGCGCATACCATCTTGATACGCCAGTCTTGATAAGCAAGCTTTGGCTGCACCGCCATCGCTGTTTTCGCTTGGGCAAGATCATTTCAGTGTGACGAAGCAGGCAGATTTTTTTTATCGAGCGAAACAGTTCAAGTGACTTCATCCTGATAGAATGTTTTTTCTTTGTTTAGACTGAAGCCTCAGATGTCTCATCAAACGCCTAAATTGGCTGAGGGTGTCGCGTCTTCAGCGCCCCTGATGTATAAAATCAAACGAGGAGGTTACCGTATGAGCTCTTGACGTCACACACCACAGAAATTTGTGGCGTCGCATGACGTCATAGGATGACATCGTCGCTTGCTGGAATGTGGGTCAATCGGAGAGGCAGTGTGAAACCAGTTCAGGTGCAAGCCTCTTATTCTGGAGGCAGTGAAAAAAGAAAACACGTTAGGAACAGAAAACCTTCTCGATTTCTTTAAAAGAATAGGGGGGGGGGTGCGTTGAAAAAGCTTCTGGAAGTAGAAAAGATGGGGGAAGGTCAACTCATCAGCTTATGCGAAAAACAAGATGACGTGTGTGCTTTTATTTAAACTTCAGCACTTTTCCGATGTCGTTTTCAAGCTTGCAGAGCATTTTCATGTCCTCCTCGGAAATTTCAACTTCTTGCTGCTTGGCATCAAGGATGTCTGCCAGCTCTAGCACCTCTTCAAGGACCGCATCGAGTCTTTGCTCCATGGCTTGTCTGTCAACTGCATGAAAGTAAAATGCGCAAGCAGTCATTCTAGGTTCTGCTTCACTTTGCGTACAGTAACAATAATGTAGTGTGCTAAAATTACTCACACGACAGCATCTCACTTTGAAACATGGAGTTGTACAACTCGAGAACTTTTGACTGTGAATCCTTGTCAGCAGCGCATCTCGTTCTGCCTTTTTGTATCTCCAGCGTGCCTATCAGTTTGCTAACGTCCACTTCTGTTTCATTAATACTGGCTGCAAAAAAGATAAAAAACGTAACGCTTTAGAAGCTACACAAAATTTTGGGTGAACAAAAAGCTGTAAGATAACGAGCGCCCGTTGATAGAACTGCTTGTGCGTACTAGCACAGTCACTAAAAACTGCTGAGGTACTATGGTACGAATCATTCACAACGTGTCTAAACGTAATTTCATTCTTGTTGGGGAATTAAAGCATCTTTTCTGGTTGTTCAACCTAAACAAAAAAAGTTATTTCGCGTATTCGGTCGTCATAAATGCGGACAACTTTTCAGGGCAATAAGGCGAAGGTCACAGAACGAAATCCCTCGTTTTCTACCGCCGAAAAATCAGTTTCACAACTGTGCCCTTTAAACGCGAGACATGGAAACTGCTCTTTGTATCACACCAACGAGATGTTTATTTCACTTCATATGCTATCGCCTTGTGTTATTATACGCGTGAAAAAAAGACCTGCCTTTTGCACGTACCTCCAACGCAATAAGAGGTGCTCTGTATGCAACGATGATTACGCGAAGCCACCGCTTTCCATACCGGTACGAGACGTGCACCAAACCAGACTACTTCATTTGTGTCGGATTTCTTTTCACGTTTTTTTCACGTCGTTGCCAAAAAGAAAAAAAGTTGTCCGCTTGTACGAGCGAGTATAGCTCACGTCTAGCGTGGAAAGTTGGTCTAGCCTACACAGTTTACATATTTCATGTGAAACGAACGGGTGTTCTTCACGCATGCCAGCTTCCCGGATCCGAAATGGTATTTTGTACTCACTCATTAAGGGAGCCATGACGTTCTTGATCTTACCGATTATGGTTTACTAGCGGAGTTTTGGCTTCCAGCAACGCTGAACGAACGGCAGCAGCACTACCGGAGACTACACAAACGCTACATTCCAGGAGGCGTTGACTGAACAACCACTGGTTCGGGTCGGAACTGGAACACGCGAGTTGCCCTCTGGCTACCAGAGTAAGAACTAAAGTGTGCTATATAATGGGAGAGTGCTCGGAATTGCCGTTAGGCTCCAGCACCAATGTACTGTTGGAAGTGAACCTCAAACACGGTCAATCCACTTGTGGCGCTGCGATCGGTAGTTTGCAATATATCGCCATTTTAGGAGTCAAGTGCAGCTTCACCGAAGTGGTGCAGAAGTAGAATGCTCACTTCCCACTCGAAAGACCCAGGTTCGTATCGCAGCTGCAATGTAGACTTTTTTTTTAATTTTTTGTCATAAATTGTTATAGCTGTATTACTTCTTTTGGTTTCTTAAAAGTGGCTTCAGGGGGTAAATATTGCTACAAAAGTAACTTGAAATGTGAAGTAAAACGAGAAAAAAGGGACAGTGAGCGTGCTTTTTTCCAGCGACCCCGCATGGCATTCAAAGAAAAAGTAAATTTGTCGTAGTCGCAAAGATCTCGGAGCCGTAATTTGTGTTTTCATAGAATGCCGTGCAGTGGCACTAGAAATAGTTACGCTCACTGTTAATTTCTCCTATTTTGCTTCACATTTTACGTTACTGTACGTAGCAATACGTAACAAATGAAGCTAGTTTTAGAAAAGAAATAAAAACATGATGTTAAAAAAGGTTATTTATTATTTATTTATTTATTTATTGTACCATCAGGGCCTGAAAGAATTACAGAGGGGAGTGATAATACATAAAGATACAGAAAAAAAACAACAAAACATGAAGGAAAAAATACAGAGTGGATGGTAAAAACTCCATCAAGACAAATAAAGAAAAGTAGCTGCAGCGAGAATACAAAAAATAACTTTGATAAAAAATTATGCAAACAGTGACAAACATAACTATATTCACAAATTAGCAACTGTTTTACGGAACAAATTAACATCAGTTATGTGAGTCATGCGTAGGAGAAGGCCATTCCAACTGACACAAGTTCCGGGTATGAATGAGAGAGAGATAGACTTTATTAATTTCCGGCAGATTGCTGGGATGGGCTCCCACCTAGGGGCCAACGGAGAGACCGTGTCTCCCGGCAGCTTCCTTGGCCTGCAGGATCGCCCAAAGTTGTTTGTCTAGGCCCGAACTGAGCAGCACAGTCCGCCAACGCGCCCGAAGGTCTTCATTGGAGGCCGCGACCCCAGAATTTCTGACTAATGCTGGACATTCCCATAGGATATGGTCGAGAGTGACTCTGATGGTACAGTACTGGCATAGAGTCATGAAAACTATTAGAATGACATGATGAAATTAAAATTTATTACAGTGATTAATGCGAGCTGATATATATGAGAGTTTTGTGAGTGAAGTGTTTTTCAGGTAGTTATAGTAAATTTTATGAAAAGAACATAATGATCTTACACACCTGCGATGAAAGAGAGAAGGGAGGTAGAAACTTGATTTCATAGCAGTTACACTACTTGTTCGGTGATAGACAGTATGAAACGACAGGGACGGTTTTGCACAGCTTCCAAATAAGAAATGAGTGAATCAATGCCAGTGCTCAAGACATATCTAGAATGTTCTAATTTCGAGTGAGTCAGTGTTTTATAAAGCAGTAATTTCATTGAACTGGGTGAATTAGAACAGTTTCTGTGAAGATACCCAAGCATGCGGTCGGCGTTATTTTTGATATGTATAATATGAGTTTTCCAGGACAGGTTAGAAGAAATGTGAACGCCGAGGTTTATGGAAGAGAACACTGCTTCAAGAGCAACATTGTTAATGTGGTAGGTAGGAGGTTCGTTCGAATTCTAAGAAATACGCATGTACTTGCTCTTATTAGTGTTAATTTTCATAGTCCAAGTATGAAACCAATCTAAAACCTCGTTAATGACTGATTGAAGGTAAGAAACGTCGTTAATGTCATTAATTTTACGGCAAATAGCATAATCTGCAGCAAAGAAATTTATTGAAGAAGAAATATTAGTCGGCAAGTCATTTATAGAGATGAGAAAAAGGAATGGCCTGAGAGCGGACCCCTGAGGCACGTCAGAACGGACAGGTAAGGGATGTGAATCGAAATTATCGGCTGTTACAAATTGGGAATGGTTTGAAAAAAAAAGCAAAGCAACCACGCAAGTACACTAGGGTTGTGTCAAGATTACATAACTTAAGAAATAGCAGCCCATGCATGATTTTGTCGAACGTTTTTGAAAAAATCTAAATATATGCAGTTTGCCTGAGATCCGTGATCTAGGATGCAGTGAATGTCAATTATGAAACATATTAGCTGGGTTTCACATGAAAATGACTTACGTATTCCGTGCTGGGCTGTGCTGAAAAACAAGTTGCATTCTAAAAAGAGACAGGACGAGAGTATATGACGTGCTCTATAATTTCACACGGTATACTGGTGAGGAAAATGGGACGAAAGTTGTCAGGGCAATGTTTACTTCTGGACTTTTGCAGAAGAATCACCCTCCAAATTTTCCAATCACTTGGAAGAAACTCTTTCAAGAGATTGTTCAAACATTTTAGTAAGAATTATGAAACAATACAAGTTGGTGTTAATCAAATATTTGGAGTTAATGTTGTCAATGCCACAGGAAGAGGAAATTTGAAGATTTCGTATAATGCTCTGAATGCCTGGTGCCTCAAAACAACAGAGTCGATGAGAGGAGCATCAAAAACAGGGTAGTCGCAATTATCACATGAACATCATTAAAAAGCCGCTGCGCAAAGACATTGTTTAGAACAGAAGCACGTTCGTCCGATGGAAATGAAACTCCATCAGACGATGTAAGTAGCAATGCGGTGGTGTCCTTCTTCTTAATTACGTTTCAGAACTGTTTAGGATTGTTAATCAGCATAGCAGGCAAAGTGTGGTTTTGGAAGGCATAATTGGCGTTTTTAAACGCATCCTTGTACACAGCAGCAGCGAGAAAGTAGGAATCTCAGCGCACCTTAGAACCTAACTTTTTTGCAGAGCGATACAAACGTTTCTACACTCTTTTCGAAAATTTATTGAACCAAGGTGATTCACTGTCACACCTCGAAGACTTAAGTGGCACAAAAGCATTAGTAGGACGTTCAACAGTGCTTTTAAACAATTCCCAATTAGTTTCGACAGAACGCAGTGAAAACTCCAGCAGGCATTCATCCACAAAAGTTGACGGTCAATGGTGTTGAAGTTTGCCCGTTTGTAGTCTCTAATGTACTTTACCTGATTAGTGTGCTTGTATAAAGGGACCTCAACATCAAAATGAAGCAAGGAATGATCATTGAGGCCACGTAAATGCAAGACTGAAGAAATAAGATGCGGTAAGTTTGTTAGAAGAAAATCCAAAATACTGTGGCTGAAGTAGTTCAAGTAGGTTTCGTGACAAGCTGTGACAGGTTGGAATCCAAGCAGGCTATTAAACTTACTAAAATCAGTCGAGAAAGAGCTAAGATAAAGCGTTGCACTGTTCCAGACAATAGTGAGGTAGTTGAAGTCCCCAACTAAAAGAATATGAAGGTTGGGAAATCGTACAGCGATCATTTTAAGCTCGTGATGCAATTATTTGATTGATATGTGGGGTCTAACGTCCCAAAACCACCATATGATTATGAGAGACGCCGTAGTGGAGGGCTCCGGAGATTTCGACCACCTAGGGTTCTTTAACGTGCACCCAAAATTAGCACGTGGGTCTACAACATTTCCACCTCCATCAAAAATGCAGCCGCCACAGCTGGGATTCAATCCCGCGACCTGCGGGTCAGCAGCCGAGTACCTTAGCCACTAGACCACCATGGCGGGGCGCGCGTCATGCAATTCGTCAGCGCAAGTTGAACCCGAAGATGGCGGGTGGTAACATATGCCCAAAATAAACTTCTTGAAACTTACACAAAGTTCAACAAAGAATAATTCCGGGTTACTTGGGAAATTTTTGGGCGATGCAACAAAACTATCCGAAACAGCTATTAAAACACCACTACCACACCTTTGGCCTCTATCCAAGCGAAATACGTTAAACCTTTTTCTGCAGTTAAACAGTTCCGCATTCATTACCCTGGAAGAAAGCCATGTTTCAGTTAGTAAAACAACATCGGCATAACAAGAATCGATGGCAGCATCAAGTTCATGTCGCTTTGTTAATATACTTCTTATATTGGTAAAAAGAAAAGAAACAGAGTTTGCTTTAGCAGGCACCAAACTACTGCCCCTCGCGCATCCCTATGACGTAGGACGCGGTAGAGCGTTGATATCGTGGGTTAACTGCCGATTGTGAACCAGCACGCGAGCGGAGTGAGCAGCCAGCACAGTATGTGACAAGTCACAGATATTCGGGTGAACGTTATCATCAAGTGCTGCCTGTAGCAGAGAACAATTATCCATGAAAAGGTGGTCATGAGCAGCACTGTAGCTGTAGATAATGGATTTGTGGGGTTTAACGCCCCAAAACCACCGTATGATTATGAAAGACACCGTAGTGGAGGGCTCCGGAAATTTCGACCACCTGGGGTTCTTTAACATGCACTCAAATCTGAGCACACGGGTCTACACCATTTCCGCCTCCATCAGAAATGCAGCCGCTGCAGCCGGAATTCAATCCCGCGATCTGCGGGTCAGCAGCCGAGTACCTTAGCCACTAGACCACCACAGTGGGGCCGTTTTTGAACTTTTAATGCCAAGATCTATTACATTAAATATATCTATTGCCGGTTCTTCATCTTACGTCTTTGAGCGCTATTTCCCTTCGAAGTACATACGACGTAGTTAATGTCCCCATCGTGTCGCAATGTTCTCCCAGTGACTTTCACCCGAAGGATGATTTTCTGCATTCACGTGCAGTCACCCCTCCACAATGCAGGAAGAGTGCCTCCTAGCCATAAAAACTTTTCAAAAAGCACTGCCTTAACGCCACGCCAGTGGGCAAGTTCTGTTAATTTTGTACACTAAGAAAAGAGAAGTGGCAGAGGCGAAAAGCAGGACAGTGTAGCGGGGAGAGAGACAGATAAAACATTTATTTCTAAAAGCTTGTGAGGGAAGGTGGGAGGGCCCCTTTGTCTAGGAACTCT